ACACACAGAGAAGGCGGCGGGGGAGAGGGTCTTGGTGTTTGGTATATTTCTCCCGCCTCCGCGATCGCGGACCCGGAGACGGGCGCACACCTGTGTGGGCGCGCATCAGAAGTTCTCGAAGTCGTCATCCTCATCGTCGGCGACATGCTGGCGCTTTCGGCTGTGGCGCGATGAGGAGGCACGGTAATCCAGGTCGTCATCGTCGTCCTCGCCATCATCATCGTCGTCGTCGTCGTAATCGCGCGATGAGCGCTTGGAGCTCTCTTTCCGCCGCCGATCCGGCTGGTAATCGTCGTCCTCATCGTCAAGGTCGTCCTCATAGTCGTCGTAGCCCCGGGCACGGGTGGGCTTGGGGGCGCCGTCGCGGTGGCCAGGCGGCTCATCTATCGGGGGAGGGGTCGACCAATCAGTCACTGTCCAATGGGGCAGGAAGGGGCAAGGCGGGGAGCAGGGCGAGGGCCACGTACAGTCATCGCCCTCGCTGTGGCCGGCAGGGTCCTGGTCGTCCTCCACCTCGGGCGGCTGGTTGATGCGTTCGCATTCCTGGATGAAGTTGGCGTAGATGTCGATCGGCTGGTCCAGAGCTGGAGGCGAGCCCAGCGGCAGCGGGCCGATGGGTGTCAGCAAATGTGAAGCATGGGTCATGCGCCAGCAGGGTGCACGGGCATGCGCGCACCTCGGATCTGCATCGTAAAGGGCCCCTTGGGCTCGAGCTTGCAGATGACGCAGGCCAGCATGGCCACGCGCTCCTTGCGGTTGCTGGTAGGAGGCGGTTATGGGTCTGTTAGATGCGGAGGGGGGGGGGGGGGGGGGGGGGCCCCAGGGGGGGGGGTCGGCAAATCAAGGGACGCATTGAAGGACGCACATCGTCACCTCGATGGCCTTCTCGTGGTTACAAAAGGGGCATGTGAAGGTGGTCGACAGGGGGATGACCACCCGCTTCTTGGGCTGGCGGCGCGCGCGGGTCTTCTTTCCCATGTTGTGTGGCCAGGCTGCGGCGAAGCAAACAAATGGGGGTAGGGCGTGAGGGGGGGGGGGCAGAGGTCAAGAGTGACAGGGGGGATGTGACGGGCGTGTTCCGGGCGGCGCGCTGAGGCCCGGCCCTGGTGTCTGAAAAGGGGCCCGCGTGCGGT